CTTGTTGTTCTTGTTGTTGTTGTTGTTGTTGTTGTTGTTGTTGTTGTTGTTGTTGTTGTTGTTGTTGTTGTTGTTCTTGTTCTTCTTCTTCTTGTTGTTCTTGTTGTTCCTATGTTCTTGTTCTTGTTGTTCTGTTGTTGTTGTTCTTGTAAGTTCTTGTAAGTTCTTGTTCTTCTTGTTCTTCTTGTTCTTCTTGTTCTTCTTGTTCTTCTTGTTCTTCTTTTTGTTCTTCTTGTTCTTCTTGTTGTTCTTATTCTCCTTGTCTTATTGTTCTTCTTGGTCTTCGTGTTCTTCTTGTTCTTCTTGTTCCACTTCTTGTTCTACTTCTTGTTCTTCTTCTTGTTCTGCTTCTTGTTCTTCTTGGTCTTGTTCTTCTTATTCTTGTTCTTCTTGTTCTACTTCTTGTTCTTCTTCTTGTTCTGCTTCTTGTTCTTCTTGGTCTTGTTCTTCTTATTCTTGTTCTTCTTGTTCTACTTCTTGTTCTACTTCTTGTTCTACTTCTTGTTTTTCTTGTTGCTTCTTGTTCTTCTTGTCGCTGTTGTTGTTGTTCTTGTTGTTCTTGTTGTTCTTGTTGTTCTTGTTGTTCTTGTTGTTCTTGTTGTTCTTGTTGTTCTTGTTGTTCTTGTTGTTCTTGTTGTTCTTGTTGTTCGTGTTGTTCTTGTTGTTCTTGTTGTTCTTGTTGTTCTTGTTGTTCTTGTTGTTCTTGTTGTTCTTGTTGTTCTTGTTGTTCTTGTTGTTCTTGTTGTTCTTGTTGTTCTTGTTGTTGTTGTTGTTGTTGTTGTTCTTGTTGTTGTTGTTGTTGTTGTTGTTGTTGTTGTTGTTGTTGTTGTTGTTGTTGTTGTTGTGGTTGTTGTTGTTGTTGTTGTTGTTGTTGTTGTTGTTGTTGTTGTTGTTGTTGTTGTTGTTGTTGTTCTTGTCGTTCTTGTTGTTCTTGTTGTTCTTGTTCTTCTTGTTCTTCTTGTTCTTGTTGTCCTTGTTCTCCTGTTTCTTCTTGTGTTCTTCTTGCTCTTGTTCTTGTTGTTCTTTTTGTTTTGCTGCCGGAAATCTGTAAACCTAAATGACATGCTATGAGCAAACGAAACATTTTGGCAATTGCCTCAGATCTGGCTGGAGTTGGCATCGGCCGGCCGATGGCGGTCAGACTCGGGTGTAAGCCTGGACCTCAGTTCAACTTTGTGTTCGACCTTGTTTGGCAAAACTGGTGCTTTATTTGATGGCGGAGTTTGCCCGAGGTTTTGCTAGCTGCCTGGATGCTGGAAAGCGGCTACTTTGTACTCCGCTGCAGCAGCTACAGGAGGCCAGTGCTAAACTTTTCGAGAACCACGTGGCTCGAAAGCCGTTAGCACACCATGCCACCCAATAAAGGATGACTCATGCAGTGTTGGAGGACTGCCTGGAGGCGGTGGGATGGACTCACGTGGCAGCTTGGAAAACTGGATCACGGCTCAGAAATTACTTGACACGCGCTGTGCCGAGGATTCGGTTGGCGAGCAAGATCGCAAGCTGCTGCATCAGGAGTTGCGGGCTTCAATCGTGTTCACTGTACTTTGCAGTTGCTGGCACTCTTGCAGGCTAGAAAAGATTTGACAAGTTTGCGTTACAGTGTTTGTGATTCCACAATAACATAGAACAGTGAGGCAGAGTCAAACAGCGTACCTGCCAGGCCAGACGCATTTGCATGGCTTTGATTGGCTTTGCGGTGAAGCCATGCCCTCGGCGTCCAAAGCAGCACTTGTCATGTCAACACGACTTCTCCAGTGTCCCGGACTCCTGCAGGGGGATTTTGTGCATGCAGAGAAGTTTGCGCAAGGTCGCCAGAGGGCCAGACCGGGCCAGGCGCTGTCGAACGGGATGCTGGCGACAGCCAGAGTGGCATGTCCATGCTTACTGACGAGCAAGCCTGACTAGTGCCTCCTCACAGATGAGACCGACGATTGACTGCAATGGCAGGCATTTCGTATTGCGAGAGCCTTCTGGTGCACGTCTCAGTTGTCTCCTTTGCAATAGAGGTGGTGGAGTACACTTTGAGCAAGGTGCCAATTAGTCAATTCCGCATCAGCGCAGGTGGCATCATTTTGGCTGTGTTACACAGAAGCCAAGGCGATTGCATTCCACATGCTTGCCGGCGCCAGACAGGCACGCAGCCAAGAGGATGCTTGCAAAAATATTTGACGCAGTTCGACACTGAAATCTTATCTTGATGCGGGTGTTGATGCCTGCTTGATGTTCTGAGCAAAAATTGGTGCTTGTCGATTTCTGCTGCTCAAGCCAGCTTTTGATATGGAGATTAATCATGAATTGAATGCAGCAAGCGGGCTGCAGAAAGGTTTCCGTGTCCGATGTAAGTAGAGCCGGCTCTGGAGAGATGGTTGCACGACATGTTGTGCAAGGGCCTGGCAGAAGCTCGGCCTTGCATTGGTGCTTGCTGGTACTCATTTTCGTAGTGATGCTGTGCAAGCCAGGAAAGCTTGGCAAGAGCCTGGACAGCATGAATGGTGGGAGCTGACCTTTCAAATGAATGCCAACGTGAAGCAGGGCTTATACGCGCAACTTTGCAAGGCAAGGCACAGGGCAGCGATAGATGGGATTGTCGAATCTCTTTGGCAGAAACTTGCAGAATTCAGCCGCATGTTCTTTCTTTGTCAGCGAGATTCGGCCCGGTGTGTGTGTATATATATATATATATGTGTTTTTAAGTGTTGTCGCAGACATCGAAGGAAGCAGCTCATTGTGGACAGCCGTGACTGCACAGTGGTCATCCAAGCCTTAGGCAGGTGCTCTCTTTGGGCGAAGGCGCGCCGGAAACTGGCCCTCTCGAGTGAAAGCGAGCATGGGAGTCGTGCCGAGTCGTGCCTGGGAATCCTGGGACTTGCTTTTCTCAGTTCGGTTCGTGCCAGGCTGTGCAGATCACTTCCCAGTTGGTAAACTTTAAGATCCAGGCTGACGTGATTCTTCTGGGCGCCCTTACAACAGCTTGTGCAAGGGCTAGCGAATGGACGAAGTATCGTGGCTGAAGCAAGCTTTGAAGCAAGAATGAAGCAATACTGGGTCAAAGTGATTGAAGTGGCAGTATATGCTTGTTCACGACGAACAATCTATTGCCAGTTTCAACAGACCGCTCGGTACCAAGGTCGCTGCATTGTCTGGAATGGGTTCAAGATCTGGGCCTGGAAGTTGGCATTTTCACGGTGAATGCTGCAGCTAACTCCTGTGTGGGCGCTGCAAACTGGATGATGGCCCTGGAGATCTTGGACGTGGCGGAGCGGCAGCTGGAGCTAAACACGGTCAGTTGCAACATCATTCTCAGCGCTTCGGGCGCCTCTGGTCGCCTGGATCTTCGCAACTCGATGATCAGCCATATGGAGACCCTGCAGCTGAGCCCCAGCTTGGTGACCTTCAACACCTTGATCGACCTCTGCGAGGCAGCCCTGGACTGGACGGCAGCGCTGCACTTCCTGGGCCTCCTGCGCGGTGCTGAATTGGAGCCTGACATCATCTCGCACAATTCGGCCATGAGTGCCTGCCAGAAGACATCTGAGTGGCAAATGTCCCTTGCCCTCTTTCAGGATCTTCAGCAGCAAGGCCTGAGGTCCGATGGAACAACATTTGGCACGATCACCAGCAGCTGTGCCAAGGCGCAGACTCTAGGCAGGTCATGGCCATATATATCTTGTTTTCTGGTGCCAAGACGGTGACACGGCCAAAGAACACAGTCGATTCTAAGGCGTTGGCCTAGAGCATTGTTCCTTTTCAGCCGACTGTGGCCACCAACAGAAGCTGGTATCCGGCCCAACGTGGTTCTGTGCAGCTCTGGAGCAGATGCACTTCAGCAGGGCGGGCAATGGGAAGAAACTTGTCAAGCTGAGATAGCAGTTCGAAAGTCTCATTCGTTCCGGTTTGGTCATGCTTTGTTTCCTGTGCAAAGTCATATCTTGCTTTGCCTTAGTGCAGGAGTGGGCAAGCTATTCGCTAGAAGGCGTGTCAGGTTGCACTATATAGGCTGTAGGCAACCGCTGACCTCTGGTGTTTGGATTGTTCGAGAAAACACACGTTCCAGGATGTTATGACACTGCTTTCGAACATGACTAGTATGGCAGTGCCGCCGAATGACTTCACCATGAGCTCTTCAATTGGCGCCTGCGGACGAAGGCAGCGTTGGTCTATATCCTTGGATTTGCTTAGGTCTGGAGACGGCCAACGACCACCTGAGACCATCGGTTCTGCCATTGGAGCATGTTCTCGAGCTGAATGCTGGGAAGATTCTGCTAGCTTGCTGAATGCCTTGAGATTACGAAGGGAGAGCACCAATGCGGTTTCGTACAATGCTGTGATGAGCTCGACTATCGGTTCTACTGGCTCCCAAACCGAGGCCGATGGTGAGGAGAGGAGCTGCAGATTTGCATGGAGACTCTCGCTGGAAGTCTTCTTGTTGTGCAATTCCATTGCCGGAG